TCTCCCCACTCTGGGCTCGAAGCACTTCCTAGCTCGGGAGAGAACATGAGCATATCCATGAAATATCCGGTTGGCCCTAACCTTTGAAGGAGGTATACTTCCTCCCCCACCTAGGGGCAGGGGGTAAAGAATGTCTTTCCCTCCTTGGTGGCTTTAGAAAGATTCTGTGGCTCACAGCAGGGTGGGTAGAAAAGCCTAGAAGACCAGGTCCTCCTGGATGCCTGGGCTCACCCCATTCTGAGGTCAGAAAGATCCTCCTTTGCCCCACTCTTCCCAGAAGAATCTGTCAGCTGCATTCTCCTCTGAAAAGAGCCACCTCTCCTTCCCCACTCCCAGGCTGCTTGCCCCTAGGCTAGACCGAGGAGCGACCCATTTAAAGTCTAGAAAAGCCTCAGGGTCATAGCTTTCCTCCCCGACCTGGTGTCCATATCACCTTTTCAACTCTACATCTGCCCAAGTACCATGCAGGTTTATGAGCATTAAGTTCTGCAGAGAGCAGGAGGGAGACCCTTGCTTGGCTGAGTCTGTTCACTGGGGAGTTCCACTGAGAGCCCTCCCTGTCTTCATCAGTGACTGAGCAGGCACCCCAATGCCGGAGAGTGGGTGCTGGGGGGACCCGGCTGGGTTTGCCACTGGGAAAGCTGCGGGAAGGGAGGACGGAATGCCCACGAAAGGACTGGGCACCGCCGTCTAGCTCCTGCCTCTTTCGACCTTCCCCACAAAGGTCTTCCCACTGGGCAGCCACCCCTCACCGGAGGTCCTCGAGGCCAGACTCCACCCATGGCTCACCTCTGAGCCCCAGAGCTGCTGACAAATGCTATGAAATTCTAGGAGAACTTTCCCTGACAGCTGCCCCTTCCCCCTTGCCTTCCTTGAACATTAAAGCAGGTTCTTCCAAGAACATCACTCAGCCCCAGGCTCCTGGTATTATTAAAACATTTGACCTGTTTTTGTGTTAAGCGAAAAGGGTTCTAGCAGAAGAAGACAAACAAATAAGCCACAACTTTTGCTCCCTTTCGACACCAAGCTCCGCCCACAGTAGGTGTGGGGTGGTCAGGAGGGCTGTTAATTCACTTCCAAGACCTGGATTGATTTCCCTGCCACATCCCCCCAGGGAAAGGCCTGCCCTGAAAGGGAGACCACCCGCTTAAAGCCCGGCCATCTGATCTGGTATCTGCCCATCTGTCTGTCTGTCTGTCTGCCTGTTGGATCAACAGCCTCCAGCCAGCTCAGCTCCTCACCAGCCCCAGCCCCAGCCAGCTGTAATTCCTGCCTGTTACAAGTGTTAACACCTGGCCCGGGGCCTTCCTCCCCCGCAGTCTCCAGGTGCCTCCCTGGGCTCAGCCCACTGACCCCCATGGGGTTTGACTCAACATGTTCACAAGCCTCTGAAAGGCAGAGGTGGGAGTGGGTGGGGGAGGCAACGGGACACCTGACGGATGGGGAAACTGAGGCAGGGCTTAGGGCAAGCACTTGAGTGGGGGAATGGATCCGAGAAGGGTCAGGGGAGAGTTCAGGTGTATATCCCAGCTCACTGCCCTTGACTTCTGCAGAACACTTTCTCTCCCAACCCCAGCTGTGAGGCAGGGCAGGCCGGTAATCTCCAGGTGAAAGGGGAGAAGACAGAGGCCCAGGTAGGTGGGTTGCACAGAAGTGGGGTGCACCCCCGACCCCCAGCATAGGCCCCTTCAGTCAGGGCCTCTGCCTCTGGAATGTAGTAAAGCACTAGGCCAGGCCCTAATAAGCCAGTTCGTTCCCCCCCCCAAGAAGGAGAAGAAAGACAAGTTCCTCCACCAGGCTCTAACTGTGACTGACGAGAAGAATTATAGAAATCAGTGCTTGCTGTCACCTCTTCCTGTCCCAGCTCTGCCACTACTTGGCTGCAGGGCCCCGGAGCACGTCTTCGTGAGCCTCTGTCTGAGCCCCTCACACTCCGCCTTCTGGTCTACCTCCTCCCAGGGCCGGGGGCGAGATGGGGGTGCGTCCCTGCGGGGTGTCACGGATAGAAACCCCAGCTAAATGATTTCCCCTCTAAATCCCTCCTGGGGGAATGTGTTGAGCTGTGTGGGCCAAAGTGGGCAGCAGTGGTGAGGCTCAGCCTGCCCGGGGACAGAGAGGGAACAGAAATCTGAGGCCCAGCCACTCCACTGTCCCTGTCCCAGCCCAGGCCCAGACCCTGGCCCTGGCCCCAACCCTGAGAAAGTGACCCACCCTCTCCCCCAGTTCCAACACCAAAGACAATAAGCCTGAGAGGGGAGGGCTGCTGACCACAGTCCTCAGGCAAACAGGATAAGCTCGTGCCAAGAAAGGCTCTGCACCCCTCACGGCCCAGCCCAGGTTCCGGGTCCCCGGTCCCCTGCGCCCCGTGCAGCCTCCTCATCAGACTTTTATCTCCTGCTGAACTGTCCCTCCAGGACCAGGAATGTCCACTGAGCACCCAGTCTCAGGATGCCACTCACGCCCATAGATCACGTGTGTGCAAACATATAGCCACAGGCCCAGCCATGATCGCTGGCAGTGGAAGACGGAGTCATAGGCAGACGCAGACACGACGCTCACATTCATACTCACGTACATACCACACAAGTCACACGTACAATCAGGTCATGGCCGTGAGCATGGGTGCCCACGCACAAAGACGTCTGTGGGGCTTTCCCCTTACAGTGATGAAGGCATGTGCACATGTGCACACACATGTACACGCAACACTCACATGCCCAGTCATGAACACAGTAATGCAGTGTCATACGCAGGCACAGGTGCTGACCTTGACTCAGGCATAGATACTTTTAGACTCCCCCCCTCTCTCACCCGCCCCCCCAAGAATCAGCCACTTGCTGACATTTTTATGCAAACATAGCAATAACCCCTGTCATGGGCTGTGGATTCCCCAGGCATGTCTTGCATGAAGTTCACATCCATGGTCACCCAGTTACAGACACAGACGCTCCTATACATAGAAACTCACGAGTGTACAGATGACACCCCATCGGGTCACAGACCTAGAAAGCGCACACACACAGGTCTCTGCTCAGACAAAGCAGCACCCCTGTTTTTCCAAACCACAAACAATCCATGTATCCAGCATTACATGAGGGCCAATGCTCTGGCCTTCCAGGATTTTCCATCATCTTTCCATTGGGTGGTTCCTATCTGGATGTGCCCCCATTCACCATTATACACCGACCCCCACCCTCCTCACAGGCACTGCCCAGGGAAGTGCCTCCTCCGGTTCACAGGGCAGGGGAACCTGGACCTCTAGCTGGCCCCTGCGGCCTGTGGGACTCCACACCTTCTCTTCCTACCCTCCCCCTGGCCAGGACCCCTGTGAAGGCAAAGAACATGGCCCTAGTAGGGGGATCAGAGAGGGTCAGGCAGGGCCACAGAGGCAGGACTGGCTTCCACAGTGACCTTCCCTGCAACAGGCAAAGCCCCCGGCCTGGAATCCCCCGATGCCCAGGCCAGCCCCACCAACTTCTTTATGTACAGGAGGCCTCAGGCCAGCCCAGTGCCAAGGGAAGGGTGGGCTGGGCAGAAGAAAGACTTCCCCTTGGGTGTCTGTCCTGGGAGCACCCCTAGGCACCTTCCAAACAGAGACCCTCAGCCATGCCCTGCTCCTGCCCCCATCCTAGCCCCCAACACCCAGAAACAAGTGCCTCCACCCCCAAACAATTAGAGGCAGACTCAGGGTGTGGCCCCCCAATCTCCTGGCTCTGCTCCCCTATCCCGGGCTGGAGAGGGGGTGGCAAGCCAGGGAAAGTGGGACATGCAGGTGGCACCACACCCTGGTGGTTCTCCTCTCCGACTTTCACCCCAGGGGCCACAGCCCTTCTTTTTACTCACAGATCCTAAATTCTTGTCACTCCCCTCCCACCCCCCAGGCACAGGCTGTCCCATGTCCAGGAGGGGAAGATTCTTTAATTAAAGTTTTCCGGAATGCAGGGGCTGGAGACTGAGGAGAGGCGGGTGTAATTTAGAGAACTGGTTTCAGTGTGTCTTTTCCCTCTGGCCTCTGGGACCTGCCGGGGGGGTGATGGGGTTGCTTGGAAAACAAGGGGACTCCCTGGAACTGGGGCCCCTAAAGGGCTGTTTATTCTTCCGTCGGATCCCCCATAAACGCACCCCCTCCCCAAAACACCGCGCCTCGTTTCCCACCCTTATTTACTAAAAATGTCTTTTGTATCTGCATTTCCCGGGGATGGAATTCTCCTTTTCCCTGTCTCCCTTTCTCCTCGGTTCTCGGTTTTCCAAAAGGAACGAATTGAACATGGAGAACTGGGGTTTTGGTCAAAGAACAAGCCCACCCCCTTCCGAACAACCACATTTTCAAGGAGCCCCCCTTTCGCCAGGGTGGACAAGCAAGAAATGAATAAAATCCGAATTCAATGGCATCTCGGATCAGCAAATCCCACATTCACTTCTGAGGCTCAAGATTAATCCTGAGTGGGGAGAGTCTGATGAAATTCCCCCCCCCCATTCCCCTGCCCCTGGGATCCCCGAAGCCATCGGAGTCTGCAAAAGGGGGTTATTGTGAGGAAATCTCTTGACGGAGGCGCCGGCAGAGGTGGGGGTGGCAAGGAACAGAATGATTTTGCCCATGAAGACCCCAAAATGGAGAAGAGGAGTGGCTGGGCCCCAGGGACAGCGCTGGATTTCCAGAGACCCAACTGCAAGCAAATGGAGGGTCTTTCGGGCCCCCAGATTGGGATGAGTGGAAGGCTATTAGGATCTAAGAACAAGAAACCTTCTGAGACGGGGAAAGTCCTCCAGCCTCTGCAGCGAGTAGCAGGGAAAATGGTGATTATCAGAGAAGCCAGGAGTTGGATTCTGAAGGCGACACCAGCAGAAAATCCAGGAGGGGTGGGCGGGTGGGGGGCTGGAAGGAGGCAAGGAGAAAGGAGCCCCAGCCCCGCCGGAGCCCACCCCCAGCCGACGCCCCCCCACCTCCCCGAGTCTCGGCGAAGAAATCGGGCCGCGGGCAGACAAGAGGCGAGTCTTACCACCAAATTGGGTAGCCGGCGAGGACCCCGGTGCCACAGAGCAGGAGGCCGAGGAGCAGCCCGAGCAGGTGGGGCTCCATTAGAAGCGGCGCCGAGGAGGAAGTTTGCCCCCGACCATGAAGAGGGGGAGCGACGCCCCCAATAGTTGGAACAAAGTCCACTTGAGATTGGAAATGACTTTCGGGCTTGTCAGAAGCGCACCTCCACCCGCAGCCGCCCCCCTGCGAGCCCAGCGCGGAGCAGCCGGGTTTGAGGATGTCAGCGAGCAGCCAATCAGCGCCCGCGGCCTAAGGTAAGAGATGAGCCTGTAGTTCAGCCTGTCAATCACGCGCCCCTCCCGCCCGGCCCGCGAGTCGGGCTCCGGGAAGGGCATCGCCCAGCAAACTTGGGCAAAGCCCGCGGCCCGGACCCAGGGAGGACTTGGGGGGTGGATACGGCACGTTGGACCCTCTCGCTGGCCCGGGACCGCCGCGGCACCCCACCAGCCAGGTTTAGGGAGATGGAGGTTCGACCGGGGCGTTCACGTGGTGCTGGGTCGGCGTGGGTACGGATGGGTGGCTCCTTTTCTCTCGGGCGACCGTGACCCCTTGGGGCTTGGGCCTTTGAGGAATCGACAGTAGAAAACACAGAGATGTTTCCAGAAGCCTCACTCCAGCAGGACAGGATCCGAGGGTCGCAGAGGGGGGTGGGAAATGCAACCCCTCTCAGCCCTCCCGAGCCTGCGAGCCACCAGCCACTGGACCCGGCCGCAGGAGGTCGCTTCCCGGGTGTCCGAGAGGCGCGCAGAAAGGTCCGCGGTGGCTCGATGGTCTGGCCGCGGGCGGCGCCGTGGGGACAGAGCCGAGTGTCATTTGAGTCTTTTGTCGGGGATCAGATCGGTATCGGGACCTCCTGCTGCCTTTGCATTTCCTGCAACTGACACCAGAAGCCAGTAGCATTTCCTGCTCCAGAGCCGGGTCACTTTCTCCTCCTCGAGGGGTTCAGGCCCGGCCTCCAGCTCGGTCAGAGGCACCGCCCGCAGTCCCATTTGGGTCTCGTGGATGCACTGTTTGGGGGGTGGGTGCGAGGCGGGAAGTAACCGGGGTCCCCGGAAGACCCTGCTGCCCCCCAGGCACACGCACACCCCAACTTTCCTATCTGGAGCCCTTGGCTCCGACCTGGGGTTTGGTGGTAATGTGCCTTTTCCCAGTATGGACACCAAATGCACCCAAATAACCCATCCCTCACCATAGGTTTAAAAAAAAAAAAAAAAAAAAGTCGTTCCAAGCCTCGTGGGTTCTTTCTGTCTTCTCCCTCTCCAGAGTCAAGGAATTAGGTCTCATCCCTGAGTGGTGCTGAGGTAGAGGGCAGATATTGAGGGGACTAGGGTCGCCTGTCACCTGGGCAGCCTGCCCTCCAAATCCGCCCCCCCAACCCAAGGACCCCCGAGGCACTCGGGACCCCGGAGCAGCTCTGGGCCTGAGGTGAAAAAAGCAAAGCCAGTGAGAGTGGGGCAGGGACCGCTGCTCAGGGAACCTCAGCAGAAGGGGCAGCTCCAAGTCCTGCCGAGGCCAGGGAGAAGGGCTGTTCACCAGGTGGGGAACACGGCTGGAGGAAGTTCATGTCAGGGGGCCAGACATTTCTGGCCTTTGATCTGGGCCACCCATGCCCACAGCTCCAACCCGCTGGCCTTGCGCATCCTGACAGCTCTCTCCGCACTCGGCTGCTTCGGGCGAGGGGAGCTCGGGGAACTGGCCCCGGGGGAACCAAGGGTCGGGAGAGCCGCCTGGGCTTGTCACGGCTTCTGCCGCGTTCCTAGCCCGACTAGAGGGGGTGGGGTCCAGGGAGAGATGAAAGAGAGGAGGGAAGGGAAGAAAAGGGAGAGAGAGTGCAGGAGAGGGAGTGGGAGAGTGCCAGAGATGCTCGCAGAGAGAGCCCAAGGAGAAAGAAGGGGAAAGGGGGGCAGGGGAGAGGCTGAGAAGGGAAAGGATGAGCAAAAGAAAAAGCCCTAACCTGCCCAGAGACAGAGGACGGGATGGAGCCTGTGGAGATGCCCTTACGGTGGACTGACTGTAGGTTCCTTGTTTCTGATTCACCTAGAAAGGGGGTCACAATGGATCTGCCATTGTCCTAACTGCGCAGCCCCAGGGCCTCGGCTCTAGAGGCAGAGAGCTCCACAGACACATCCCTAATGGCCTGCTAGTTCCCACTCGGATTTCTGTCCTCCCCAGCGGGGGCTCTCAGCTGATTTTCTGATCAGAGGTGCCTGCTGGACCTCAAATCCTGCCTGACAGCGTGGCGGGCTCCAGAGCCCCGTAATCATCTATCAGATAGCCGAGGAGGGCTCCCTTCCCTGGCCACGAGACATCACTATGGATTCAGTGTGGCTGGGGAATGGGAGCTAGACTAGATGACCTCTTGGAGTCACTTCTGGACCCTAAGATTCCACAGGTGCCAGCCCTGGACAGTGGGGGCAAAATATTTCTGAGGCTGCGGGTGGGGTATTGGTTGACCGAGAGGTGCCCAGCCAGTAGCCCTGGGCCATGTAGGTAAGACTGGTCATCCCCGATGACCAGTGTCCGTCCCTCCTCCAGGCAGCCCGGGAGCATAGGGAGACCCAGGTCATGAGCACCGGGAAAGGAATGGAAAGGAGGCCGGGAAGCAAATGGGAGCAGGGGGGGATCCAGACTTGTGCTGGCCGCACAGCCTGAGGAGGTAGAGGCGGAGGCAGTGTGGGAACTTCTGTGTGGCCCCGCACGGCCCCTGGAGAACGGAGGCCTGTGTGGGGATTTCCCCCCACTTGAAAGCGACCCAGAGGAGGGGATTCCTGATCCCTTTCTCCTCCCCTGCCAGGTGTCCTTCCTTCAACACAGGCTTAATTTCCTTCCTCCTGCCTGCCCAGCGCTGCCGGTTGGAGCAGGGGAATGGTCCCTGCCGGGAGGGGGAGGCCGCCCCCGCGCCGCGAGTCACAGACGAAACACCTAACAGGCACCCCGGACCGCAGGGGGGGTTGCATTGGATGCGGAAAGAGTTAAATTTACTCTAAGCTAGAGTGGGGAGGTGGAGGCTTCGGCGCGATGATCCCCCGAGGTGGACCCTGAATGGGAGAGCGGCTCTTGAAAGAGGGCAAGGAAGGCCGCGAGGGCCAGGGGCCTGGGGGCTGCCACTTGGGAAGCACTTTTTGTTTTGTGTGCGAATATTGGGGACCTCCGACCTGCCTATCCCCATCCCACCCCCACCTCTCGAGCTGCCTCCAGGTTCCTTTTGATGTGCACTCCCCAGGGGCGCTCTTTGGGCCGCTGTGGATTCAGCGCCGCTCCACCTCGCCCCCTGCGGAGGCGCTGTCCAGACAAAGAACGCTACCGCCTGGCCCCCGCCCGCCCGCAGGGGGCTACCGGTCTGTCGCGCGGAGGGAGGAGGAAGTCTCCGATCGGGCTTTATGCCATCCAGTTTTGCTGGGAACATGCCGATGGCTGCCGAGCGCTGTGGCGCCCAGACCAGCCTGGGGATGAAGAGAGAGGGAAAGCGGCTGCAGGCGAGGGAAGCAGCAAGTGCGGAAGGCCAGAGGCCTCATACGACACGGCGAACCGCACGCGGGGGAACGGGCAGGGGCTCCGCACTCTCTGACCCACAGAAAGAGGCTGTGAAGTTTATGCTAAGAAGTTTATAGCAGCCGCAGACTGCTTCAAGTGAGTTCCTTGGAGGCCACCAGAAAGCTGGACAACGGGAGGCAGGAGGGTTATAGCGCGGGGTAGTGAATGCAGGAATTAATCGAACAAGAATTATTTAAACTGCTCAGCGTAGAGGTAGCGTCCTGGTAACGCCGATAACTTGCACAGAGTAGGCACTTTGGTGAGAAGCAAATGTCATTGGAACACACCAAAGCGTCCCGTGCCTGTCAGGCCCTCCGTCTCCTGCCCCGGCACGCCCCCTGGCGGTGGTGCTGATAATAAGCCGGCAAGGATGGGAGACCCTGCCCCTCCCCGCAACCGAGGCCCCAAGCCCACGCCTCTGTTGGTGTGCAGCCCGGATCTTTGGGGATCTGGGTTAAGTAGGCGTCCTCATGAGTGAATGCCCTTAATCTACTTCACAATCCCTGAGCTTAGTTGGGGATAAAGTGTGTGTGGCTCCCCTCTCCTCCCCACCCAGGTGGCTCCCTTGGGAGGCGGGCCCCAGATGCAGGAGGAGAGGCGAGGCTCAAGTGGCAGGCTTGCACTCCTGGGCACCGCCAGGCAGGGACCCTGAAGCTGCAGCAGCCTTTCCTTGATGAAGATGAGTGAAGGAGTGAATGGCGATGCCAGGGTGATGTCACCGAGTCCTTTCTGGCCTGGCCCACCAGCACCCCAAGATCACAGGTGCCACCTGTGGGAACGTGAGGGGTTTTCCCTGTCACAGTAGTCACTTCTCAGTCTTAGTCTTAGTCATCTCCAGTTCCCCAAGGGCATTTGGGGAAAGTGATTTGGGGTCAAAGTCTTTTAAAAGGAAGGGAGCAACAGAAAGCATGGGATGGCGGGCACCACTGGCCAGCTGCCAGTTATCTCGGAGCCTCCTCCACTCCGGGTGAGGAAGAGATAATGCTTTATATCTCACAGGGAGTTGTCAGTGTTAAACGAGAATGGCGCTGACAGAATGAATGCCAGAACTCGGATGGTGAATAATAAATGTTGGGTCCCTTTCTTCTCTCCTAGGGGCTGAGGAACAAGCAGCTCTCTCTCGAGTGGCTCCTTCTGCCTGTCAGCCTAAGCTGCGCAAGGGGTGCATCCTCAGGTGCCCAAGAGCCTCCTCAAGAAGGATTTACCCACTAGAGACCCGCCTTAAAATCTCCTCTTCAGAGAGGGTGTAGTACCACTTGCTGCTCCCCAATCCTGTCCCTCCGGACCTCTGATTCCAATGTATTTTTCTGCAAAGCCCTTAAATCTGACCTTATCTTACTGTATATGACACAGTAAACATATCTGTTAGGATGCTCACTTAATGTGGTCTATTTCCTACTCTAAAGTCTAAACACCTCGGACTGCTGAAACCCCAAAGCCCAGAGAAGGGTCTGGCACATAGTAGGCCCTTTATAAACATTGTTGATGACTGGCAGAGAGAGGGAGCA